TGTCAAATAGTTCCAACCATCAAAGCAAAACAAACCCACACAAAGAAAAACCTAAAGTTAAAATAGTTTTAAAAGGGACGGTGCATTTAAAATATCCAAGTGGTTTTAAATTCTTAAATATTCATTTATTTCTTTATTTTTGGAATCAAAAGTTCCATCTTGCCATGTGTCGAAAAGCCACCATCCATGAAAGTTGAACGCACTTTTGTCGATGGCATTACTGGTGGGTCAACAACATCGTAAACTTCAGAAAGATTGCGCTTTAGCTTTGCATTTGGAGATACAACTTTAGAAAAATGGTGTTTTGCCAACGGACTTGTCGCTATGTTTTTCTCAACATTAGAGACCAGAGTGATATTATATCCCGTGAATGATATTGCATCCTTTTTTGAAGTACATAAAAATATTAGTTAAGTAGTAATGTAAATGAAGTTAAATTTAAATTTAAATGTAAAATAAATAGCACCTTCAAATTGGCAGGTTCTTGAGATGTGACTTCAAATGTTGAAGTGTTGAAAGAGTCGGAATCAATATGTTGCAAATAAGAACATAGTAAGAATTGCTTAAACAATATAAACATTATAAGGATTAAATAAATTGTGCAAAATTGATACCTGTTCAATTGTAAACTTCTTTTCAAGTTCAGAAAGTATTTTGCAGTCAACAGTCTAAATACCACTGAACTTTATTTTTCAAATTATAATAAAAAACTTCAATCAGAAATGCAAATTTCCTCTCAAGCAGATTAGTGATTTCAACGGGAAAAATAGCAGTATTACCATCCTACAAGACAAATGCAATTGAATAATGTGTAAGATAAAACATGAGAAAAACAATTAAGTTGTATAGTAAAACAGACCCAACCTCATTAAAAATTTCCTAACAATTCTTGTGCATTTTTTCTTAAAATTCTATTAGCATCACCGTCAAAAAGAGTCAATGAAATTACTCTTGTACGATCTTGGACTCTAATATTTTAAACCTAAACATATTAAAAAACAATAATGAAATATTACATTAATGTGTAAAAAAATAATAACAAAGAGAAAACATAAAGTATATGTTCAATACATAGGAAGAACATAAACAACTTTATTTTTGCAGATTGAGGATGAACACACAACCACGTTTTTGCCGTTTGATCCATCATTTAGCTCAATGTTCATCATAATATCTTCATCAACCTTCTTATGACACGATTTACATCCTCAATAATACCATGAAAAATCCGTGCACACACACTTAACTGTACCAAGCACAATTACTCGGCTTTTAGGTAAAACTTACAAAAATACCTTTGTGATTTCTTGGATTTCGGTCAAAGAAACTCATCAGTCTCAGAATACAACATGGATGATGAATCTTTGCTACGATTGGTAGACAAATTTTCAAAAGAATTTTTGGAAACCAAACTGTTCATGAATAAAGTTTAATTTTTGTTATGTAAAAATGCATAAAACAGTACAATATTAAGAAAAAATATGGAAGCTATCTAACGTGTTCTTGAATTTTAGGATTTCTTCTATGTTAGCATTGATGTAAAGCTTGGTAACAGAGTACCAATTTGAAACAAACAAACGACCTGCAAAAAATAGTTAGATTTCAAGTTCCTGTGTAAAAAATGGAATAAATATGAGTTGTTATGTAGTACTTATATGAATATGGTCAAAACAGTACAATTGATTCCCAATAAAATATACTATCAATTTGTTGTGTAAAGTGGCAGGATTTTATTATTTATTAAAGTATAATGCTGCTTTTTTGCTTTTGATGTTCTGCTATAAATTTTATTTCTGGAAAAATAATATAAAGATTCAGGGAGTAAATCAGTCGTGAAAAAGAATAAAAATATAAGTTATAATGAAAAAACTAAAAAAATATAATTTTATAGAGTACAGTTATGCATATCATGCATATTGTCTATAGCTTAATTGTTTAATTTAAGCTTTATTTTAAAAAATGGATATATGAAGGGAAAATAATGGTAATCAAACAAAAAAATGTTGTTTAATTTAAGCTTTTATTTTAAAAAAATGGATATGTGAAGGAAAAATAATGGTATCTAACAAAAAATATTAAAGTAATGATAATCAGATACTTTTCCAGACTGGGATAATTATTATAACACTCATTTCTTTCGGATTATTTGACACATAATCAACAAATTGTTGAGCATACTCGTCCCCTTAAGTAACACTCACTTTTCGGCCTCTAAAAAATGAAGTAAGGGAAAATGAGATTGTTATACATATACAATAATATTGTTTAGGTACAATAACCGTTTCTCACTCTAAATCTTGGATTTGCATATTCTGTCTACGGGCGTTAGGGATGAGCATGGGTCGGTTTGGATCGGTTTTTGGCTAAAACCAAACCAAACCGTAGAAAGTCGGTTTTTCGGTTTTTAAACCCATATAAGTTCGGTTTTTTGGTTTTCCGGGTTGGGTTTATGGGTTTTTGGTTTTAAACCGTGAGTTTATGAGCTCATGTTTTTTTTTTCCCTCTAGTTTTTGGGTTCAAACCTAGTGAAAATACGTTGCGATAAATAGTATTGTATCTAATTTAAATACACTAAAATAAAGAGTATGAATTCTAGTATTATAAAAGCATAAAAGTGTTCAAAAGATCAAAATTTAACACCATTAACATTTTGTTGAAAATAAACATAAAGTCTAAAGTCTAAAACTAAAAGTTTAAATTATAATATAAATAATATATATGTGGGTCAGTTTGGTTTTTATGGGCGGTTTTATACGTCAAAACCGAACCAAACCGTTATTTTTCGGTTTTTGTAAAATTTAAACCTAAACCGTCGGTTATTGCTTTGGTTTCGGTTTTTCGGTTTCGGTTATGTCGGTTTTTTTCGGTTTTTTGGTTTTCGGTTCGATTTTTGCTCATCCCTAACGGGCGTGTTTGGCACGGAGCTTTTGGAAGTGTTTGGGAACTTCTAGCTTTTAGCTTTCAACAAAAGGCTCTAGTTTAAACAAAAAGATTAGTTTGGTAGTACGAGCGTTTATTTAGCTTTTAGTTTAAACAAAACGCTCCGAATCTAAAAGCTATTTCATGTAGCGTTTAACAAAACGCTACTGAGCTTTTGAAATCAATTTTCATAATTACCCTTATATATATATATATATATATATATATATATATATATATATATATAATTGTCCTTTTATGTAATTTTGTATATTTCAAAAGCTTTCAGCTACTTTTGCAAAACACTCATATAACAAATAAAAATTATAGTTTCCCGCTACCAACTACTCGGTACATGCTAGCAGCTACCCGCTACCCGCTTCCAGCTAACCGCTACTTTTGCCAAATACAACATACGTGTTTCCTTGCCATGCTTTGACATAAAAGTCTCCATCGGAAAATATAATAGCACGTGACCAGTTACATCTAAAGAAAGTCAAAGTATAACACAAAGTATAACACATGTATTAGGAATGGTAGTGTAAGAAAGAAAAGCATAATAAATTAATTAATTAAATTTAGATTAAGCACTAACCGACTGATGTTATTTTTTGGAATATTATTTTCAATGATTGTTTGGTAGTTCTCAAAAGGAAACCGTAGAGAGGATAATAATTTGATAGAGAAAGTCGTCTCCCTATAAGACGTAACTTTAAATCCATATGAGGATGTAATTCATTATACGTTGTAGACTTCCTGATTGAGTTGTTACAATGATATCTCTATTATCAATCGAATCACCAATGTCACCAACAATCAAGGCAACAACCTCATAAACAGTAGGTAGGTTATACGTCCGTCCATCTTTTTGCCTTCTTCCTATAAGACGTAACTTTAAATCCATATGATGATTTTCAGTAAAACAATCTCTTGTCATTCTATACCACCTAACCAGTTCATTTGTTGAATCCAACATAACCTTCAAGAACTGTATAGTCTCGATATCAAGTAAACGAGAATGTGATATACACCCATCTTTTTCTTTACTGTTAATCATAAAGGTTGTATGAAATATTCATTAATTAAATAATATATATATATATATATATATATATATATATATATATATATATATATATATATATATAACAAATTTTAAAAAATCATACGAAAATAAACAACGTTTTGTCTATTTCAAACTTTGTTTTCAGTATTATATAAGTAAAGTTGAGAGAACTTTGGTTTGGATCCATATGAAGGTATAAGACTTCCCATACTATGATAATTTTGAACGCTAAGTCTGAAAGTGTACGGAGCATTGCCTTTGTTAATGGAAGAGTCAATTTTTCCACCCATCGAAGTAAATGAAAACATCGAATTGAAGCGATATATATTCTTCATGAAATATTTGGATTTAGGATCAAGATGACGATAGAGATTTAGGTATCTTAGAGGCGTTTCTTTTAATTCAGGAAACTCAACTTTGCCTTTACCACAACATATGGGAAAATATGTGTTCTTCCCATATTTATTACCTCGATGGACTTCATTTTTCCATAATTTTGCATGATAGATAGCACACACAAAAGTCTCATCACCATGGTCCAAGTAATCTGATATATATATATATATATATATATATATATATATATATATATATATATATATATATATATATATATATATATAAGTTGTTAAAAGATTGAAAATTTTTTTAACGTTTAATAGAGAATTAGTTTAATTAAAAATAGATGGAGTTATAGCCAAGAAACATTACCTTTTGAGACCTGAAAATCTGAAATTACATCTTTAAGAATATGATGATCATTTAAGTCTTCATATGATGTCAAGTCAAGAAAGGGTATAGCAAATATATTTGCATTCTTCCTTTTAAAGTTTGATTCCGAAACGATAAATTTATAGAAGAATCTCGAGTGATTCCTAATAAAGTCGATGACCTCATATGATCAAATAATACAAAATATTGTCCATTTCCCGAGGAAAGTGTTTTAATTGTTAGCATTGAATTTAGAAATGAATTGGATATAAACATAATGCATGTATTGTTGGATTAGTGTCTAAGTTCATGTATATCGTCATAAGTAACATATAAAAATAAAAAATGTTAAAAGAAATGTATTTTTACCGTTGGAAATGTTAGATAACGGAGATCTTAGAGGAGTCGATGGAGAACTGGAGATGGAGGCGTAGAGGAGAAAAGGTAAAATTAGGGTATAGAAAAAATCAACGAAACATTTATTTTTGTCAATATTGTAACCCATCTAAGTTGTGATATGTGAACAAATCAGAAAATTACATGTGGAAATAAATAAATTCTAAAAATCTATTAAAATATCATGTATCCAAATTAACGAAGATATGATATGTAGCAGAAAATGTGTTTTATTTATTAGTATAGATAAGATGTTGGTCAAGTCATAAGTCACCGGTAATTGTTTCATCTTTTAGTTTTCACAATAAAAAAATTCTTAAATTTCTTGATATTAGATTGCAAATAAAATTACATTCAATGAAAAAAACTTTAATAAATCCCCACCCTATTTTTAAAAAAATTTGGTCTCTATGTGACATTTTCAGCCGGGTACCAATTTACTCCACATCTTCATTTCCATTTTGGTAACAAGCCCAGTTGGCACGATCACCAAGTTTTAGAATTAAAAATGAATTGTTTGATATTTAAAGTTAAAAACTTAAAATGACAAAAAGAAAATGGTTCGAATTTGAACGGAGTCGTATACAAGAAAGGTTGGGCTGCTACCTGAATTGACCAAACTGCCCTCACTTCTTCGGAATCAAAAAGCCGGCCTTCTGGACCATTTTGTCATAAAGAGAAAACACAAGAGTCCGGGTCAACCATTAACCCGTTAGTCATACCATATATAAACATCACAATTTACACGTAATCTCGCACACACACACTACACACACTATGAGACACCAAGAAGGAAGTTTGGACTTTCATGGATCAAGATTACGAGAAGCCACCGTAAAGATGGCTCATCTTTACCGGAGAATCTTCCGATTAGACGTCCGATGGAGTGTTTTACTCCAGAAGGTTTCCGTTTTTCGAGAAATCATTCGATTGATCTGGGATAGATTTCTTGCTTGTTCAATGGGGAAACCAGTCCGGTACCGGAGATTGTCTCGGCAGTCATCTTCTCCGGCGGAGGAATTGGAATCTGGTTTTGACCTAGAAAACCCCACCACCACCTGCAACGGCTATCAAGAAGATTCAGATTTGGTTACTCTCAAGATTAGTTTATTGGGTGATTGTCAAATTGGAAAAACAAGTTTCATGGTAAGTTTATTTATCTTTTTTCTTTTATTTATTTTTTTACAGAAAAAGTACAAAGGAATGATGGTATTGTGTATTTTAAATAATCTTTAAACAACAGGATAATAATGTTTTTTTTTTTTTTTAATATTATTATTATGGGTATTGTTTGATTCAGTTACTTTTATTATGATTATTTTATAATTCAATTGGCTTTTTTATGGTATTCGAAATTTGATTGATTGATTTTATTGTGACGAATTTTGGTTGAATAACTTTTGTTATGGTTAGTTTATAATCAGTTAGTTTTATTATGTTTTTTTATATTTAATTAAATTTGTTCTAGTTAATTTATGATTTAGTGAATTTCGTTATCAGTATCATATAATTCAATTATTTTATTTTGATGTTGACGATACTTCCAATCTTGAAAAAAATATTTTCTTTTTGCATAATTGTTTCTTTCGTGGTTAAACAAGAAACTATGAAAAGTATATTTTATTGAGGGGTAGACGTAATTCCCAGTTTTGATGTTTTTTTTTGTATTTTCTTTTTGTTTGTTTTAAGATTAAATATAACGAAAATCTAGAAATTGGGTATTGTAGATTTTAATAGTTTTATTACGGGGTTGAAGAAGTTTCTAATTTTTTAGAATATATATTAAATCTTCAAAACATTATAAGGAATCAGGGATTATGTATGTTGTGGATTTTAATTAAATTTTAGAAATTATGGATTTGAAGAAAATTTTCATTTTGAGTAAAAAATTAAAAAAGGAAACCATTTAAACTTTCTTTTTTGTTATCGATATTTTGAAGATTAAATACGTTGGAGACGAACAAGAGAACGGAAGATTGGAGATGGCTGGTTTAAATCTAATGGATAAGACGCTGTCGTTTGGTGGAGCAAGAATTGCATTTAGTATATGGGATGTTGGAGGTAATTAATTTTTTATTTATTTCATTTATTTTAAATTTTTCTTAAATCTTTTAAAGTAAAATGAAATATACAACATTAGGTGATAAGAGATCGAACGATCAAGTCCCGTTAGCGTGCAAAGACTCCGTCGCAATCTTGTTTATGTTCGATCTAACAAGCCGATGTACCCTCCACAAGTAAATTATTTATTTATTTCGTTACATTTTTTAAATTTATTTAAGCCAATTCTTTAATTTAGTTAATGCTGTTTGTTTTTCTTGGATTCCCAGTGTATTAGGATGGTATATGCAAGCAAGAAAATGGAATAAGGTATGTAAAAGTTCATGACCAGTTTATTATGTGATTTTCACAAATTAAAAATCGTAACAGTTTTATTTTGCTATTGCATAAATTTTCTTGGTATTTTGAATTTGTTCTTATAAATTTCAAAATAATGTTTTTTTTTTTTTTTTAAAATTTTATCAAGTAGTTTTTTTTTTTTTTTTTTTTTTTTTTTTTTTTTTTTTGTGTGTGTGTGTGTGTGGAGCAATTTCATAATTTGCAACTTGAATGCATGCGAAATTTATGGTCATTTTAGTTATTAGATAAAAAACTTATTTCAAATAGTGGGGTGCGTGTGTATAATTATATATTATAAAAGGTTGGGTAGGGAATAATTTGACACATCTTGGGTTGTTGATAATCATCTTTTACAAGTTAGCTTGTCAGGTGAGGTGCATCGACCTGTCGCTGGCCACCTTTATAAAAAGAACTATTTACTGATTTATTTATTTTAAATTTAATGTAATTGTTGCATTGCATGCATTGCAGACTGCAATTCCTATCTTGATAGGGACCAAGTTTGATGATTTTGTAATGCTTCCACCGGATCTACAATGGACCATTGTAAATCAGGTAAATTTATTGTTATATTTTGACATCATATTATTAGAAAGTCATAATTATAACAATTTTTGTAATAAAACAGGAGAACGTTTCAATTGAAATGTTTCCGTTGGGTTTCAGAGTAGCAAACACCATTTGATTTAAAATCTATATTCTCCTTTTGTAACATATAACTAATGATAATAATTCATTTGGTAACGTAATATTAATTATCATTCTACATAAATCGAACAAAATTTAGATCTGTTAGGAAAACAAACAAACAAATAGATCTCTAAGAATTTAAGTAAGAGCTGGCATGTGAATGAAGAGAATAATGAGTCACGATGTCTGTTTATATACAATATAAAATCTGTTTCTCACACAAACACGCACACACTATATACATTGATAGCGAGGATAGAATATATATATATGGATATCGAGAAGGGCTAAGGAGGAAACCCAACCCATTTTGACAAAAGGAATAAGTAGTAATATGCTCCATTATTGTTGAAATAAATAAATACTATAATATTTTTGTTTCTTTTGTAAGTATTATTTAAAGAGCATGTGAATTATGACGTGGCAGGCACGGGCATACGCAAAGGTTATGAAAGCAACGTTATTTTTTTCAAGTGCTCGACACAACATTAATGTGAACAAGATCTTCAAATACATCATGTCTCGACTCTTCAATTTACCATGGTCTCTGCAATCCAATTTAAACCAAGGGGAACCCATTATCGATCTTTACTAGGCGGAGAAGGAACATCTATCTTCATCTATCTAGTCTTTTACTTTACTTGTATATAGTCACACTTTGACTTTGACTTTGACTTTGACTTGGATATTATCATCTAACCCAACCCGCTTACAAATCTAAAGGGAGAAGGTAATTTTTGTTTTGGAAAAGCCGACTCTTTGTTGTTAAATGCATGAGGCAGCATGATTTTTTTTGTTCTATAATGACGTACTGTTTTGGATTATATAATATTTGTTGGAAATGTATTCTAGTCACAAAATTACTTTAATTATAAATAATTAGATTTAAAGCTTTAATCACTTATAAAAATTGAATAAGTGACGGAAAAAGGTAATGTTGTCGTGTCATTAAAAATCAGAGAATTAATTAACAAATTCAAAACGTGTTTTATGTTAAAAATTCACATGAAGAGGTAAAAATTACAATTTACCCAAAACAAACACTTATCTTATTACTGCAAACAAATATTGATAACCATTATACGAAGACCGAGCAAGGTTGTGTCATGACAAAATTGTTGCCCAATTTGCCCATGTTTATTGGAAAGAAAAACAGAACTCAGTTCACTACTAGCACCCACAACCCTGGGGGTAAAAAAGTCTAATCCTTTCTATAACATAGGAGTATATCTCTAAAGTAAAATAAATACTCATCCATTCTTATTATCTACAAACAACATCAACAGCTACTACCATCTCACCTTGCTGTTCTGCAACCATGGATGTAAATAAACAACCAAATATCAACACTACAAGACAACCTCATGAATTTCCACTTTCGTCCTTCGTTTTTCACTGCTTCGCCTTTTTCAATTTAAACAAAAAAAAAAAAAAAAATCAGAAGAACCGATAGATAAAATCCATGTTTGACTTTTCTGGTCAATATGAAACAAAGAATTGATATAAAGGTTCACAAATATATATATACCTGGACAAAAATATCCCAGACAATAACCTTATCACATTATAGTGGTGCAGAATTACTATCAAGATTTCTGATGATTCCTTTTTGTTTTTCTTATAAAAGATCTAAATAATCAACTTGTTGTTGAAATAATGTTTGAATATAAACCCCCAAAGGCTCTAACCTTATCACAATGTCATGGTGCAGAATTCAGAATTGCAATATCAAGATTTCCTGTTCTACCATGTTCCCGTTTTATTTCAGTCAAATTTTCTTCTACAAGATCTATACTATTATAGGATGCTTAGGGTTATTATTCAAGATTTGAATTTTGATAAATTCTTGTTTTTTGTACGTTACGCAAACCAAAAAAGATTTCAGATAGAGCAGAAGAGGTTTTGTTTTCAGGCGTTGTATGTTATGCAGAAAGACTCTGTATTTAACTTGAATACAAGAACAATCGAAATGGAGCACTAAAACTGTTGGTTGGTTGGTTGTTATGAAATTTCAAGATGAAGACATAATTAAAAGGGTACCTGAGAATACAAGAAAGTTCCAAGGATAGCGATTGCAGCTCCAAGAGCATTGACTGGTTGCACAGGTGTATGGAAAATGATAATAGAAGAAACAATGACAGATATACGCTTCATTGTGTTCCCAACACTAAAAGTCAAAGGAGAGATTTCATCAAGTGACATGTATGAAACCTGATTGTACAAATGATAGAAGATACTCTGTGCAGCTACCCACCTATAGTATCAATAACAACAAATGTCTTTTAGCCATTTAGTCAACAATAACAACAGCCATGACAATGATATGAAAGAATACATATATATATGTAATATAGTTACCAAATGAAACTGGGTCCAATTTCAGAGATGGCATTCTGCCATCCAGCAGCCCACATTTTAGGTCCCTCAACAGCAATTGCAAATGGTGTAAGAATCAAAAGTGAAAGCAAAGATAAACAAGCATAATAGTTCATCCCACTAACAGATTTCCCCTTCATGCCTCTTTTGGAAAATATGTTCCTAAACACAAACGCCAAATTCGAAATCATGGCACCCATAAACCCTAAAAATCAACAATCAACAATCAACAAGAAATTAGAAGCTAGAACCCAATTTGTAAGCATAATTGGTTTAAAGGTGATTGATTTACCAGTCATGTTGAAATTGAGTTCAGTTAGGGCAGAAAGGCCACAACCACCGATGATTGGTATAAGAGACAAGTAAACTGGCAAAGGGAATGTTTCTCCCAATATGAACCTTGACACCAACACACTAAAAGCAGGCTCACCGCTCTTGATTATGTGTGTGAATGAAACAGCAACTTTAGACATGCTAACAGTTGCTGCAACATGACCAATTGTATGGGCTAATGCAACCTGAAAAAACAATGTCCAAATCAGTTTCTGAATAATTAAAAACCCTAACAGGACAATAACTTGCTTACAGGGAATAAGGATTTCCAGAAGTCGAGATCGGTGTTGGGTGCTTCAGCGACTTTTGTAGCCCAAGAGATCAACATGATGGTTGATCCAGCAGCAAGAGACAACGTTGAAGTCAACCATGGGTATGGAAAAGCATTAAGAACCTTCTTATTATAAATGTTAAAAATCACATTCAAAAACCACCATGTTGCAAAATAAACACCGATCTTAACCCTCCTTGCTGCTTCGATTTTGTCACCAACTACTTCCGCATCAGATCGATCAGCTTCATATGCGTTACACGCGACACTAGATTTTGGACTCCAACCAGCATATAATAGCGTTCGTAACGATCCAAAAGTTTGAATTGAGGAAACATGTAGTGGTTTTGAATTTGAGACGATGGAAATTTTGCTAGCTTTGGGATTAGAAAGAGGCGGTAAAACCGAGAATTGTTCCGGATGATTTCTTCGGCGATCAATAATTTTAGAACTGAATACAGGAATCGTTACATTGGATTGCTTCAAAGAGAAGATCATATTGAATGTGCCACAAAAATCTATAAACTTAAAATTAGAAACGAACGAAAGATATTATTAAACCCTTGATCTTTGATTCCGTAGTTTGATGTGTTGTAGACTGTAGGACGAAAGATTTTAATGGTGTGTTGGTGTATCCAATCGAGCAAAACGATCACGTGTGCTCTTGAAAGAGTTTTGGTTCTTCTTTCTATGTTCGCACTTTTCCTACTTGAACCAATTTGATTTGGACTAAATAATGCGTATCTTTCACTATTTCTCATATTTCTTTATAAATTAAATAATTTTGGTCAACAATTTATAGAATGGCATATAAATTAAGTTTTATAAAAACAATATTATCACTAGATCATATAATTTTTTTTAATGGATTTATTTTATATTAATGAATCACATTTGATTTTGTATATTATGATAACGGTTAACTAGTTTGACAATACTTGCTCAATATAATTTTTGAAACTTCAACAAATTTGCCAAGTATATATATATATATATATATATATATATATATATATATATATATATATATATATATATATATATATATATATATATATATATATATATACTTGGCAAATTAGTTGAAGTTTTAAAAATTATCATCAACCATGAGAAAGGAATAACTCTAATTCTTTAGCAAGTTGTTTCAAACTTCAATTATTATGAAAGGAGCTAACGGGTGGCTCTTCAATTGGTGTGGGGGCTGGTGAGGTCCCTCAAGTGCATATTCCAAAGTATGTCCTTTCACCAACAGAGGAGGAAACCCTTCACCTAACTCAAAGGTTCACCAACTTTCTACTTTGAGGGAAAGGTGCACAAAACAAACCACAAAGGTATTCAAAATGCCCCAAAATGTCTTTGAATACAAACATGGTAAAAAAAAATAAACCTTGATCGATGTCGAAAGGATGTCACAACGTTAGTGTATGTGTATATTTGGCCCATATAATGGATGAGTGTATAATTTGGCCCATGTAAAGGCCCTTTAGTAGCAACACTATATTCCTTTTAAACTTGTATATTGTCGTCGTAACATTCGTTTTCCCGGTTAGTAAATTTAATCCTTTAATTTTGAAGGTTTTCTTTGTAGCGGTGTGAACTTGGTTAAGGGTCTCGGCACGACCTTTAATAAAGTTTGCAGCGTGATGAGTTTGCTGGGCGAAATCTTAGAAGCCTTGATTTTTTGGCCTATTTAATGGTACAAACCTCTAGAATTTTGTCATTAGCTCAACCTCCATCTCTGAGAAATCCTCCCATGAAAACCATAGCCTCTCTTTGATCTTTCGTGTGATTTTTCTTCCTTCGTGTGGCTTGAAGGTGTCCTTGTTGCTAGAAGTTGATTGTTCAAGTGAGATCTAATAAGCACTGACCTTCTTACCTTGCTTAGGGCCTCTGTAAGTATTCAAGATCCATACTTTTTGTTTGGTGAGTTATAGATCTAGATTTTGTGGCTTGGATTTGGTCCCTTCATGATGTTTGGGTGGAGTTTGAAAAAACTCCAGACCCAAAGGTTGGATCTTGGCGTCTTCTGGACCCTTTGAGACTCATAGAAGTGATTGTTAAGCTGGGGTTAGCGGCACAAATTCGTGGGTGTCTCGGTGTGACATCGAGGGCTTCACAATTATTTTTTGTCCAGTGACCATATCGTGACCAGTAGCCAATCACGACGTGATGACCACTGACAGATGACTTTGTTAACCATTGACTTTTGGGTCAAACTAAGGGGTTTTAGGTTATAGACTGAGGTTTGACCTCTAATTAGTTTAGATAGTGGGTGTAGTTGATTTTGCGAGACTTTGAGTGTTGTATTTTTAGCTTTGTGACTCATATGGTTTTTCTCACTGTATTGTGTAGGATACTGGGTGTTGATATATGAGTGATGTATGCATATCTAATTGTTGTATGCTTACATGTTTATTAGTGTAACATACAAAATTTTTTAAGCCAAATTTAAACTTTTTCAACCATGAAACCAAATAGTGCTTTACAAAATGTTTTCAAAATATTATTCATCAGAGTGTCCCGGAAATATAGTCACATGGATGAGGAGCGGTACGGTCAAGTCTTCGCCTTGCCATGATCTCCGGAAGTACGTGAAACAATAAATTGAAACTGTAAGTCCGAGGGCTTAGTGAGCTACCCCCAAAATAGCAATACCACACTGATAATACCATATCAATAATAGATAATCAACAACATGTATACTGGGCCTTCAACCTGACTGGACCACCCTGCAGGGCCTACAGTCTATCTGGATCTATCCCGAGCCTTCGGTATGACTGGACCGCCATACAGGCCTACAGTCTATCCGGACCGCTCATAGGGTATGTTGGCCTTCAGCACAAAGCAGGACCACCTCAACTCAACATCAAGCAAATAACCATGTGCGCATAACTAACATATACTGGCATTACAAATATCAGATATAACTATATCACAGATCATCGATCATAGCAATCTCTAATAACCAGAGCACCGACTTAACCAGGTCACTATCATACCAATCCTAACGGATCATAAGAGCATAACAACATACTGTCTATCCTGATACCCGATCTAACTGATCATAACCACATGCAACATACTATAACCAAGATAAAAACTAAAGGACTGACCTTGGTGCTTTAGACCCTATTGATATAGTAAGGATAACTCACCTTGCTAGTAGCTCGGAAATGATACTGCTCACACCTATAGATATACCTCCAACCACCTCGCCTGTACCCATAAGTGGTCCACTCAATAATTACTCAAAATACCAAAATGCCCTTAGGAGGTACATGACATCCCCACACTCAATTCAAGTCACTGGTCAATGGTCAACAATCCATGTGTAACGACCCAAATTTAAGACCAAAAATTTCTTTTAATAAAACATTACTTAAAGCAAAGTCCTCATTCCAAAACATAATATGAGTATAAGTTTTCAAAACACATGTTCATTATCAGAGTAAACATTCCCAGGATGTCTAATCTATGGTGTGTGCCATGCGATCACCCCGAGCTCTTCCCTCCGCTACCGGAAGTACCTGAAACCAAAACTGAAAACCGTAAGCACGAAGCTTAGTGAGTTCCCCACCCTACTACATACCATGCATAACCACATACTGCACATACTGGGCCACGCCCGCTACCTTGGGCCTCGCCCCCTACCTCGGGCCTCGCCCGCTACAACGGCCCCGCCGCTCCAGGCCCCGCCTGGCTTCAAGCCCCGCTCGGATACATATATGTTTTACTTAGGCCTCGCCTGTCACAGGGCCTCGCCCGCCAACAAATAATAATACATAAACATATCACAACACATAACTAAACACATGCAATTGGTTCTGTCCTAAGGCCTCGCCTATGTCCTGCTACTGATGAGTCATGGAACCCCATCCACGCTCCTAATGGTAGTGAGATACGGGCCCAACCCACTCTCACTCCTGTTCTAGTATGTGCCTTGCCCCTGTTCTGCTACTAATGAGATATGGAACCTCATCCACACTCTGCTATTGGTGAGATACATGACCTCGCTCACACTCACCTCCCTACCAGGAACATACATGTATCATACAGACAAAAAGTATAATCTATCATATAAACAAATCCTTGGGCACCCACCCGCTATTACTGGACCTCGTCCTGAATATCATACTAGCATACTGTGTCTAGGGCTAACCCCCGGGTCTTCTACTCATAACTACATGGGTCGGCATTGTGGCCTTAGACCCATTCACACAAAGGGAAACTCACCTGCACTGGATGAACTTGCTGATGATCTCACTAGCTGCTGCCCGGCAACTCACTGAACTCCTGCTCTTTTTGCTCCCCGAACTACCAATATCAAAGCAACACTGATCCTGACTGACCCCCGAAAGACAACCAAATCAACTCCGGTCAAAGTCAAAGTCCTGGTCAAACTCAACCTTCCAGGTCAACCCTACTCTCCGAGTCACCCTACTGACTCGCCGAGTTCAAATGTTCAGATTCCTACCTTTCGTGTCTCGACTCGCCGAGTCAGTCCATGACTCGCCGAGTCTACCGATTTCCGAGTCCTGACCTGTCCAACTCACCGAGTCTCCACCCGACTCACTGATTCGAGTCTTAACTCGAAGGGTTTGGGGTTTCACAACCTGACTCGCCGAGTCCAAGAACAGACTCGCCGAGTACAAGGCAATCTTCATCTGACTCGACGAGCTGCTCATCCCACTCGTCGAGTTGCTCCACACCTTCATGCTACTCGCCGAGTCCACTCAAAGGACTCACCGAGTCCATTCAAATCCCTTTACATGCAGAGGGCTTTTGAGTCATGCATGTACTCCAAACTGTAGATCTACCCTTCCCAAGCCTATTCCTCACGTAAAGTTGCAAACTTTACGTGTAGAGAAAGAGATCTAGGCAAAATACACCATAAACTAGGGTTTATGAGAACCATGCTCCACCAATATACCAAGAGCTGATACTTTACGGGATTTTAGACCAAAATAAGCATGGATCTGAGGTAGCAACCTCAGATCCGAACCCCTAGCTCGAATGGTTACTCTTATGCCAAGAATGCCCAAAACACACACACATAGATCTAGGTGTAAAGGAGGGAAAATAGCTGCTTGTTACCTCCAAGATGAACACAACTGAAGTAGATCTTGGATCTACACCTCCTCCTATGAAGCAACCTTCTTGATCTTCAAGTTCCTTTCCCAAAGTTTCCTTCCTCCAAGCTATTTCTCTCAATTGATGGAAGCCCTCACGAAATCAAGGGTTTACAGGTTCTTTAGGGTGATATGGGGGCTGAGGGAGGGACATAACACCCTTTAAATAGGATAGAACTCCCGGGATTAGGGTTTTCCTCGTTCAGACCAGACTCGCCGAGTCACCTTGGCCGACTCGCCGAGTCGGTCACTTACTCCTCGACCCGGATCCCGCTCGGACTTGCCGAGTCCCTCCTTGGACTCGCCGAGTCTCCCCTTAATATTAGGGTTTTCTTTCCTTTTCTTGGCCTTCCAAACTTTGGGTGTTACACCATGTTGGCCTATTTTCTGAATATAACTCTCTCTGCCTCGAGTCCCTCTTGATTCCAGAACTTCTCAACTCGACTCGCCGAGTCGATACGCGACCTAGTGCATGGAATCCAAACTGACTCCCCGGGTCATCTCCCAGACCTCACCGAGTCCATGCAGGACTAATTTGGACGAAACCCTACCCGACTCGCCGAGTCATTTCCCAAACTCGCCGAGTCCATACGCATACTCTCATGATCACGCGATTATGTACTATCC